TACTTGTATAGATTGTACATATAAAACACTGCGTATTATGAGATTTGGATTGTTATGCTTCCAAAAAGTATCTGAACTACATATAAAACACTGCATATTATGAAATTTGGATTGTTATGCTTCCAAAAAGTATCTGAACTTGCAATACCACACTGCATTCTTCTCTTTCACATAAGCTAAAAGGGCTCACATTGTTTTTGGTGGCCAAGTTTGAGTGCTCGTTCTTATATATGTTTTTTTTTCTTAAAAAAGTCGCATTGATTCTAGGTGGATTCTGATTTGTATTTTGGCTGTCGGGCCTTTTCGGATTCCTAGAAAGAAATACGAGCTGTCAAATAATCTTAACCTGCTCATCAACTATGATACTTAAGTTTTTAACTAATTTTGCTCTTTTGTACTGTACCGTTGTAGATTGGGCCATTAAGATGTTGGCCCGGTGGGCTTTGTCTTTCGCGATCCATTGGAGATATGGATGTTGGGGAGTTCATAGTTCCTGTACCTTATGTAAAGCAAGTAAAGGTACATCCCCTCAAGTCTCACTTCTGTTTAAAACACCATGCACATAATTTGTTTTGGATAAATATCGAGTCATTATATAAGCCCTCTGTCTCAATTCTATGGTTTTCACACAACTTAAGAAAAAGGTCCAATTATTTGCTTCATACAACTAGAATAAATACTCAATATTTCTATGATTTCATGATTTATACTTTATTTTAGTGTTTGTATTGTAAAACTCTTGTGATCTCTATATTAACTACATAATTTGCCAAATTTTCTGATAGTTACATATAGAAATGAATGGATTAAAACACCTAAAACTACTAAATGTGACTACAAGATGGGAAAGAAAAAGGGGAAAAGGGATCATACGAGCAGTGCGGAGGGAGTTACATATCATGAGCATTCATAAATGTTTTGAGATTAATTATGACCACCTTCAATGCAAAACAAGTTTTTTTACCTAAAATTTTAGTTTTTTCCATGAGAAATTATAGAACAATTGCAAGAGGTGAACATGATGTTTTGCCTACTAACAGGAAGAATCTCGTCATCTTCTTAAATTACAAATATCCCGAAGTAGACGTCTGATAATTATTTTCTCTAGGTTATAGGTGCAATTTATAAAACTGAAAATATTACCAATACCAGGTTATAGCAACTCTAAACATGATTTGTATTTATTTATTCCCCTCGAATACGTATTGAGCCATTACAATTTACATCTGTTTAGAGTTGCTATTAGAATTCAACTTTTTTTTTTTTTGACTAAAATCATTCCATTCATTTGCAGCTATCATCCACTGGTGGGAGGCTAATAATCTCAAGTGACGGTGTTTGGGACGCTTTATCTGCCGAAACAGCTTTCGAGTGCTGTCGAGGAATGCCAGCAGATGCTGCAGCTTCAGAGATTGTCAAAGTAACATTTTTTTTTTTTACCTCTTGACAGTTAGAATTTGTCTTTTTTTTACTTGAAATTTAATATTCTTTACCATCTTGTTTATTGCAGGAAGCTGTGCAGGTAAAAGGTCTTCGAGATGACACAACATGTATTGTTGTGGATATACAGCCACCCGAGAAGCTGGACCCTCAAAAACCACCACAACCTCTCAAAAAACAAGGAAAACGAGTCTTTAAGGCCATGTTTCGTAAAAAGAACTCAGAATCATCTTCTCAGGTTGACAAGGAAGAGTATAGTGAACCTGATTTGGTGGAGGAACTCTTTGAGGAAGGCTCGGCTTCTCTTTCAGAAAGGTCCAGATGGTTTTACTTATTTGAATATTGCTTAATTACCCAAAAATAAATAAATCTTTATCTCTTAGAATTATAGAAACACCTTTACCTCTATAATATATATATACCCATTTGGTGTTCTTTAATCGGTTTACAAGTTATCCCTCGATTATGTGCAGTTAAAAAAAAAAGCTAAAAGAAAAAAAATTGTCAAGGGGGCAGTAACTATTGTATAACAAAATTGATTTTTTTTTCGTAAGCAGACTAAATTGAATTGGTAATATATGTTTGGGTTCGATGATTTTGCTGCTTCATACTCTGAATACAGGCTGGATTCGAAGTACCCGATCTGCAACATGTTTAAACTGTTCATGTGCGCAGTTTGCCAAGTGGAAATAAAACCCGGTGAAGGAATCTCTATACACGCGGGCACTGCAGACCCCAGAAAATTGCGGCCTTGGGATGGTCCTTTCCTCTGCTCGAGCTGCCAAGAGAAAAGAGAAGCCATGGAAGGAAAAAGACCTTCTGGAGGTATAAATTTTTGCATACTTTCTATGGGTTCATCCTTAAATATTTTTTGGGAAGGGATAAATTAGAAGTGCAATTCTTGAAATGTTTTTTAGTCAATTTACACAAACTCCAAGTTATATTTCCAAACAAAAAACTAACTCTAGTGTGTGATTTTATCTTACAATTGAATTATTTCAGAAGGTTAACTTATTTAATTACAGAAAATGCACTGATGTTTGATGTACTGTTAAAATCAACCTTGTAAATTTGATGGGGGTCTGTGATGTTTTTTGCTTTTGATGGTGAGTAAAAACATAAGAAAATAAAATATTATAAAATCGGCAAAAATCCAATTTGGTCCTCTAAGTTGGTCATTGTCCATTTTTGGTACACCAACTTTCCACTCATCAATAATAGTACGTTATGTTGCAATTTGTATCATTTTTGGGACATTACTCATCAAAACCAGTACGTTATGTTGCAATATGTATCATTTTTAGGACATTAATCCCAAAAAATAATGAACCATTTTTGGGATAATGTCCCAATAGTGATACAAACTGCAACATAACGTACTATTTTTGATGAGGGGAAAGTTGGTGTACCAAAAATGGATAATGGACAACTTAGAGGACCAAAATTGAATTTTTGCCTAATCTCAAGGGTGTATTTTAACCATTCTGGAAATTATCGGCTTTTTTTTCGGTCAGACCATAAAGGTATATATTATTTTTGTAATTAATCGTTTTACAAATTGCACCTACTGTGGTCGGATATTACAACAACAACAACAACATACCCAGGATAAAAGTTTGAGGTGAATTTTGTAAAATGTTTGAAATGATGCAGTTGTATTTACCTTTTTTCTTCTCTGTTTTTGTTTTTACCAGCTGGTAGATATAATAGTGACAGTGACTAAGTCGGTCTCTTTGTGTCTGAGTTCGCATCCCATGAGAATTTTTAACGGTTTTCCAAGCTGATCGTAACTGAGAAGGCCAAATTTATTCGAGGGGTAATTATTTGGGACCCTTTTTGTGAATAACAAGGATGAGAAGTAAGGATCTTCCAGCTTCAGTTTGGTTTAGGACAAAAACGAGATATATGAGTTTGTTCAGCAGAGTTTTCTTAACTCTAGATGAAAATGTATAATATTATGGGGGTATTATTCATGTTTAAATTAAATACATGAGAGATAAAGTTATTTGTCTTCCTGAGAATGTTACAAGGGTAAAGTTTTCTATTTGGGAGAGCTAACGAGTGAAAAGCTTTTCGATTTGTAATATTTTTTATGTGTAATGTTCTGACTGGAGATTGTAGGGGTTTTCTTCCCTCAGCATTAATTTTTTTTTCTTTTTGAATTTTATTATTTACTTGTTTTTTTTCTTAGATTTTGTAATGAGGAAGATTAACATTTACCATTGAAAAATGGCATTTTATTTTATTTTGTTGTTTTTATTTTTGTAGGGGTTTTCTGGACCATGTCAGCTTTGTTTCAGTTCATTGACTTGGTATTTCAACAAAAATGTCACATTGAGTTATTGCATGAAATCTAGAGATATATATGAATCTGAAATCCTTTACTATATGATTTTATAGAAAATACGGCGCTAGCCTTGTTTTAACTCCATTTAAATGGTGTTTAGTTATGCTGAGTTGGACTAAGTTTGGATTTGAGACTTAGGATTAATTGTATATAGAAAAATTATACATAGCCAATTTAGTGGGTAAGGCTACAATCCCGTTACGGAACCATTCCGTTGGGATTTGTAACTGTTAGATCAATTATCATTGACGGTTACTTGATGATCTAACGGTTGCAATCCCAACGGAATGGTTCCGTAACGGGATTGTAGCATTTTCCCAATTTAGTGTACAACTAAGTTGACAACACAAGTGGAAACATTCACTTGTGTATTTTTTTTTTTTTTTTTATAAATTATATTCAGTGTCACCACTTCATCTCTTTTTCATTAGATATTTGATCATATTTTTTTATTTTTTTTTTTAAAAAAAATTGTTTCATCTGTTTTCACTATTTTCCTATTAATCTTATCAATACAATTAAAAAATATAAATAAATCATTACAACTTATTTTTTTAACAAAATATATTCGACGATACATTTTAACCATAAATCATTCATAATTATTATTTTATTATTTTTATATCTTATCAAATTAATTATATTTCATCTCATATCCATATGCACAAACTCAAAAATAATTTATTCATTTTTTCATCACTTCTGTTGATATTTTTTTTTCTTTCAAAATGATCAATATTCACTCGCGAATAATTGATTACATAATTTACATTATGACTATTGATTGACATGAGTTATTCAACTCACAGGTTTTTGTCCCTCTCTATTTTTTCCATTTTCTTTAATTTATCTCAATCGCTATTCACCGCCCTCCCCATTTACTCTTTTGCCCTTAACCCTTTTTTTGATTTCATCTCTCTAAATTTTCTATCTCTCTAAACTTCCGAACTTCAACGAACGATTCAAGCATAAAAAAAAATCCGAAAAAATGTCGAAAAAATTCTACGGCCTCGGCAAAGGATTCTTCTCCAACAAGGTAATTTTTTTTTTTTCCGCCGAAAATAATTTAAAAAAAAAAAATTTTGAAGCTGTCCGGCCGTCGTTTCCGGACGACCGCCGTCTGTCCAGTCATCGGTTGCGGACGGCCGAAAAACCGTCCGGTCGTCGGTTCCGGACATCCGAGAAATTGTCCGGTTCCGGAAGGCCGAAAAACCGTCCGGAACCGCCGGCCGGTGATGAGCCGGCCTGACAGTTTTAAAATTTTTTTATTATGATAATTATAATAATAATAATAATTATAAATAATTCTGATTAAAATAATAATAATAATAATAATAATTATAATAACAAATATAAATTATAATAATAATTATATATTATAATAATAATAAGTTGAATAAATTGTAATTAATTATAAATTGTAAAAACATAAATAATATTAATAATTATAAGTTATAAATGCTTATAGTAATAATATTATAAGAAATAATAATTATAATTTGTAATGATAATTATAATTAAATATAATAATAATAATAAATTAGTATTAATTATAATAATTTAAAAAAAAATATAATAACTATTATAAATCTCAACAATTATAATTATAATAATAATTAATAAAATTTATATATTAAAAAGTGGAACGAAAGATGCGAGGATTGGGAAGCTTTGTAATGATAATTATAATTAAATATAATAATGATTATAAATTAAAGTTAATTATAATAATTGAACTAAAAAATTATAATTATATGAAAAGAAAACAATTATAATTATAATAATAATTAATAAAATTTAGAAATGAAAAGAAAAATGAATTATAATCTATTTTAACAGTTATTAGAATAATCATTACATTGGGAAAATCTAATAATTATATTTCTGATTCAGGGTGTTGGCAGACCTGGACAATCTAATGTCAGGGACGACGACGAGGCGTACGATGATTATTATGATGGTTCTGGCACCCGACACACTAGAAGTCGGGGTGTCAATGCGTCCGTTCGTCGGGAGAGGGACGCGGAAAGGCAGGCGTTGATCGATGAGGCTCGTAGGGTACAGCTTCGTCAGGCGAGCCAGAGTTCCCGCCCCCCCGCACCAGTGCCCACTGGTCCATATCATTTTGAGGGCCAGCCAGGTAGTTCGCGACCCCACGGAGCCATCCCGTACGGCGAACATGGATTTTATTATCCTGGCCAGGCGGGCAGGACGATACCCCCGGCACCAGTACCGTACGATCAGCCGGGATGTTCTTTTCCCCGGTTCGCAGGGAAGTCGTTACCCCCCCGCGCACGCGTACCATTACCTTATGGTCAGCAGGGATATGCTGATGATGAGTCGTACGGCGAGAGGGAGCCGGGTCCAGAGGACTATGACTCGGACGACTCTTCATATGATCAGGACCACGTACAGCCTACGGGTCCTATCCACCCTCGTCCTACTGTACAGCCAGTTCGTCCGGTACAGCGGTTGTACAGCATGTTCGTCCGGTACATGCTGTTCGTCCCACACAGCCTGCTCCTCAACGGCAGGCTGGGGGGCGTTTTGGCCCTTCTGCATCCTCATCAGGTAAATAATTTACTTATTTATTGTTGTTTAACATAAATTATCGGTACTGTTAGAAAAGTATTATCGGCCTGCTCGTCAACTACAGTATAATTATTTTGTAATTTAGGGTAAGTTGAATAAATTGTAATTAATTATAAATTCAAATAATATTAATAATTAAAAATTATATATGCTTATAATAATAACGTAAAACGTAAAATGTAAAATGTAACGTAACTAATAAAATATGTTTTATTAAATATATTTTATTTAATGCATCTGCCAGCAAGTCAATATATACAGATATGTTGTATTTTAATGCAGGTACTAGCAAACGAGCTAGGACCGATGATGATGCACCTTGGATCGTTAGAGGCCCAGTGCCCGGTGGGCCCATTGATGGGAGTGTCATCCCTAGCTTTCTTGGGCACGTCGCCTCCCGCATGTGGAATGGGAATTTGAGGGGGCTACTGAAATTCCACAACAGAGTGCGAGCGATCGATAATCTGAAGGCTTGGCGTGAGGAGATGTCTTCCGATGCTAGAGCTCTTCTCGACCAGACTGGGCTGTCACATTTGGTCGACTCCATGCACACCCAGTTGGACACCCCACTCCTTTCTACTTTTGTGGAGCGATGGCAGCCGGATACTAACTCGTTTCACATGCCTTTTGGTGAGATGAGCATCATGCTGCACGACGTCCGGGCCATTTTGGGCGCTCCAGTGGAGGGGGTCGTGGTCGCTGAGGACCCGGATTCGGACGCCTGCCATGGGCTCTGCATGTCGATACTTTCGGTCACCAAGGGCGAACTCATGAGTTCGTTCTGGCAGCGTGGTTCGGTGTCCGAAGCCGCCATTTCGGGGGCATTCAGGGGGAAAGACCGGCCGGCTAGGGATGAGGCGGGTGCCTGGCTGTGGGTGATGCTGGCTACCACATTGTTCGTCGACAAGAGTGGTAGTAGAGTGACCCCCAAGCTCCTGCACGAGGTGCTCGACGGCTTGGATTTGATTGAGGGTTACTCATGGGGATCGGCTACGCTGGCATACTTGTACAGACAGCTAGGTATTGCCAGCCGAGGGGACTCTGCCCAGATGTCGGGCTGCTTGACTCTTCTACAGTCTTGGATATATGAGTATTTCCCCGATTTCCGACCCCGAGGGCGTCTACCCATCGGTCCTGACTGTCTCGCACGATCACGCTCGTGGGGCGTAGGGAATGCGCCACGGTCAGACGATCGACTCACAGCCATCCGTCGGCGCCTCGACAGACTCACTGCCTCCGATGTACGTGAATTTATTTTATTTAAATTTAGTTACCCGTTATTTAAAATAACATAATTATTTTTATAAATTCTCTTATGCAATTGTGAACAGGTGCAATGGTTGCCATACGGCAGCTCCAGCCCAGATGCGATAGAGCCGAGGACTCTATATAGCGGATTGATTCGATACCGCGATGTCGTCGAGCCGTACTTGCCTGCGCGGTGTCTGCGTCAGTTGGGGTATGTCCAGACTGTCCCTCCCCCTACATACCCGCCAATCAGTACAGTACGTGCTTGGGAGTCTAGGAACTACAAGGTTGAGCATTCTGAGGCTGCTGCAGTAGGTGCCTGGACCCAGTTCCCGATTTCTGGGACGGTCAACACCGGTATGTTGACCCCCACCACACAGGATCGCGGGGAGGCGACTGAGGATTACCTGCAGTGGTACAGTCGGGTTTCCCATCCGACTCTCATGGGCGAGGAGCTGCCGGACGAGGACGAGGTCCCAACGCGTGTCAATACCGCCTATGTAAGTTGGTTACTAAATTTTAATTAATGTTAACTC